TAACATCCAAAATATATAGAACTCACACACCTCGACATCCAAAAAGCAAATAACCCAGTTAAAAAATGGGCAGAGGCTATGAAGAAACAATTCTCCAAAGAAGAAATTCAGATGGCCAACAGACATATGAAAAGATTCTCCACATCACTAATCATCAGGGAAATGCAAATTAAAACCACAAAGAGATATCAACTCATACCAGTAAGGATGGCCAGCATCGAAAAGACTAAGAAAAACAAATGCTGGCAAGGATGCGAAGAAAGGGGAACCCTCCTACTCTGCTGGTGGGAATGTAAGCTAGTTCAACCATTGTGGAAAGCAATACGGAGGTTCCTCAAAAAACTGAAAATTGAAATACCATTTGACCCGGGAATTCCACTCCTTGGAATTTACCCAAAGAATACAACTTCTCAGACTCAAAAAGACATATGCACCCCTATGTTTATCACAGCACTATTTACAATAGCCAAGATATGGAAGCAACCTCAGTGTCCATCAGTAGATGAATGGATGAATAAGATGTGGTACATATACACAATGGAATACTATTCAGCCATAAGAAAGAAACAAATCCTACCATTTGCAACAACATGGATGGAGCTAGAGGGTATTATGTTCCATGAAATAAGCCAGGCAGAAAAAGACAAATGCCAAATGATTTCCCTCATTTGTGGAGTATAACAACGAAGCAAAACTGAAGGAACAAAATAGCAGCAGACTCAGACTACAAGAAAGGACTGGTGGTTATCAAAGGGGAGGGGTGTGGGAGGGCGGGTTGGGAGGGAGGGAGATGTGAATTGTGGGGAATCATGTTTAGTTCACATGGTGTGGGTGGTCACAGGGAAAACGGTGTAGCACAGAGAAGGCAAAAAGTAAATCTGTGGCATCTTTCTACACTGATCGACAGTGACTATTTTGGCATATGGGTGGGGACTTGATAATATGGGTAAATGTAGTAACCACATTGTTTTTTCATGTGAAACCTTCATAAGAGTGTATATCAGTAATATCTTAATAAAAAATTAAAGTAGTTCAACCATTATCCATATTATTAAATCCTCTCCCCCACTAGTGCAATTACTACCCATCAACATAGAAGGATGTTGCAGAATCATTGACTATATTCTCCATGCTGCAATACTATCCCCACAACCAACTTACATTATGATGAAGAATTTTTGTGCCCCTGTATCCCCTTCTCCCTCCCCAGCTACCCATCCCAACCTCTCCCCCATGGTAACCACTAGTCACTTCTCAGTGTCTGTGAGTCGAGTGTTGTTTTGTTCCTTCTGTTTTGCTTTGTTTTTATATTCCACAAATGAATGAAATTATATGGTATTTGTCTTTCTCCAGCTGGCTTATTTCACTGAGCATAATACCCTCTAGATGTATCCGTCTTGTTGCAAATGGCAGGATTTCTTTCCTTTTTATGTATAATGCACTATAATTATACAAGATATTACCACTGAGGAAAACTGGGTGAAAGGTACACCAGAATTCTCTTTACTATTTTTGCAACTTCCTGTGAGTCTGTAATTATTTCAAAATAAAAAGTTTTAAAAATCACATTAGCTAATCACCAAAAATTTCCTCAGAAAAGTCTAAGTATCTGGAAGCTGTCAAGCTCATGGTGAAGGTACAAGTTTTCCAAAATTCTAATTTTTACTTGAAAGCTTAAATGTTGTTGCTAGCAACAGATATTGTCAGCTGCCTTCCTGAAATCACATCCTTACATTCTTACTTCATTCACTTTAAGGAAAATGTCTGCTAAATATCCAAGTGTGAATAACAAGTTTATCTATCTGTCATTCTTTCCAGTAAAAATGGTGTTCCGTGAAAACAGAAGTAGCTCATCCAGCTCACAAGTCAATCACAAAAGGGCCTTTCCTCAAGACAACCATCATACTTCCATATGCAGCAGAAGTGCTCTACAGGTACTTGTCTTTTCATTACATAGAATATTAAAATGATACATATTCAAGGGTCATGGCTTAATAAAGTTTAATCATTTTTATTGTTTCACCAAGGGCATTTTTCAGAAAACCAGCATTATACTCACTGCCAAGTGTGTAGCAGTGAAGAATATAATGACTATTAGTAACAGGTGTGCCACTGTCTTGATTCACATTAAATGCCAGCAGTTTACCCACCATTGTTTTTGCACCACCAGTACAAATGCCAACATAGTGAAAAAGGCAAATGTCTTAGAATCATTGTGAAAATAGTTCTCACAATATTATCTCACAATATCACAATCTGTCACCTCATAGACCCCCCACCACACTAACTTCTTCCACTGCTTCACCATCCACTCAGCCCTTAAACTCCTATAGTCTGTCTTCTACTTTTACCTTACTCGTAAAAACAGACTTACCATCTTGCAACAAAGCTATTCCACTGTTGGACTACTATCACTGATAAAAGTTTATTCTTTACATTGAGTCAAAACCTGCTTCCTATAATTTCTATCCATTGGTCCTAGTCCTATTCTGTGGAGTTTAATTCTTCTTTTATATGATAGTCCTTAAAGTCTTCAAAGAGAGCAATAGCTTCTACTGTCTTCCTTTTTTCCTGCCAGACACCTGTATATTCTCCAAATATTTTTCACATATTTTCCACACTATTTCAGTGACTTTAAAGTGTGATTCCTAGACTGATCATACAAGATGCAAATTAACTATTGCAGAATGCCTACCCATATCTTGGCACTATACATATATATATTAAAATAGCCTAAGATTGCACTAGCTTTTTTTGGAGCTACGTCACATGATTGATTTAAGCTTGGATTTGTGGATGTTTAAACACATAGGTTTTTTTCACATTAACTACGATCAAGCCAAATGTACCTGTCACAGTGTACTATATACACAGTTGATCTCTCAAATGGGATTTTTATAGGCGCAGAAAGATTGAGTGAAAGCCCAAGGTAATAGAATGAGTTTGGTAGAAAAGTTAACATGTATGATCAAGAACTACTAGACTTCACATTAATTTTTTAATAGTTGCTTTAAAGTAACCCACAAAAGATATTAATATTAAAAGGCAAGAAAAAATTACCAACAGGGCGTTCTCTTTTATATAGTCAACCTAATTTTTAGGGTAGGGAGCATTAGACTCAAAGTCAGAAAATCTTGGTTCTGGTGTTAGATCTGCAACTAACTCGCATTCTCTCTCTAAACCTCAGTTTCATAATTTAAAAAATAAGAAGGAATTAAATAAAAATTAAATTAATAGGACAACATCCTATATTCAGGAATCAGAACACTTAATACTATTATTAAGATAGAAATACTCTTCAAATTGACCTACATATTCAACACTATTTCGATCAAAATCCCAGCTGGCTTCATTGTGTAGATTGACAAGCTAAAATTTGACCTACATATTCAACACTATTTCGATCAAAATCCCAGCTGGCTTCATTGTGTAGATTGACAAGCTAATCCTAAAATTCATATGGAAATGCAAGAAACCCAGAATAGTCAAAATAATCTTGAAAAATAACAAAGTTGGAAGACTCACACTTTATGATTTCAAAACTTACTACATAGCTACTTAACCAAGGCAGTGTAGTATTGGCATAGGACAAACCTAAATCAATGGAACAGAATTAAGAGTCTAGAAATAAACCTTCACATTTATGATTAACTGATTTTTTACAAGAGTGCCAAGACCACTCAGTGGGGAAAGAAGAGTCTTTTTAACAAATGACACCAGGACAACTCAATAGTCACATGCAAAATAATTAAGCTGGACCTCCACCTCATGCTATACCCAAAAATTAACTTGAACTGGATAATAGACCTAAGTACAAGTACTAAAACTATAGACACTTAGATATGGATACACTGGGACCCTCATACACTACTAATGGGAGTGTAAAATGGTACAGCCACTACAGAAAATCCTAGCAGTTTCACAACAATGTTTAAAAGGTTAAATAAATATAGTTATGGTATTACTTAGCAATTCTATTCCTAGGTATATATCCTAGAGAAATAAAATACATACATGCACAAAAATCTGTACATTAATACTCACAATAGAAGTATTCATAATAACCCAAAGTTGGAAACAATGCAAATGTTTATCAATGAATTAATAGATAAACAAAATGTATATCTAAACAGTGGGACATTTGGTTATAAAAAGATAAAGTACTAATACATGCTACTATAATATGGATGAACCTTGGAAACATGCTAAGTGAAAGAAGCTAGTCAAAATTAATCACTTATTATATGGTGCATTTATATGAAATATCGAGAATAGGTAGATTAGTGATTGCCAGGGCTGGGGTCAGGAGGAATGGGAAGTGACTGTTAACAGGTAGGGGGTTTCTTTATGCAGTGATAAAAAATTTTTAAACTTAGATTGTGGTAAAGGTTGCACAATTCTGTGAGTATACTAAAACCACTGAGTTGTTCATTTTAAATGTGTGAATACTATATTCATATGCAATATTAATTATATCTCAATAAAGATGTTAAAAAAATAAGGATTATACTAGACAATTTTTAAGGTCTCTTTCATTTCTAGAATTACATAATTACAGAAAGAAAACTCATCATGGCTTACACTTTGTCAACTGAACTGAATACCTAACTGCATTGTGACAAAAGGAAGAAACCCACAAGCCAAACAAAGGTAAAGTACAACTTTGAACACTGATAGCAACAGACTTATAGAAAACAACAGCAAACGACCCAGAACAATTGCAAATGAGAAGGCTCTTTTCAGGCACATATTTTATGCAGACTGTAAATGTAAGAGAGTCACAAACAGAATATAGGTGTTTCAAGCAGAGGCTACTGCCAGGAGTAAATGACAGACATTACATGCAATAGTTGAAAATGATGTTTGGTTATATATTATTAGTCTTTCCAACCTCATCCATCTCCCACATAGATACCAATCACCATCAATAATATTACCTTCAGATATAAAAGTTTTTTTAAAAGATCAAATATAATATCCTATAAAAGGCCAATACCTACCGACTCTGCTTGGTAAGAAAGCACTTTGAGAAGGTCCCTCTCCACAACTATCTTCTGCATAGTCGCATAGGCTTCAGTGGAGCAACTCTGCATTAATCGGACGTATAATTGCTCCAGACCCTGGAAAATAAAACCACAGTACAATGTAATGATGCAAATAACCACAATTGTTACTAATAATTACCACAGCTAAAAATCAGTGGTAACTTACAGCCATGGCAGCTTGAAAAAATTCATCAGCGATCACAGCATTTCCAACTTCCACCCATCCTTTTCCTGTTTTCATATTCATCTGAAAGAGAGAAGTTAGAAAATAATTTTTAAAACTTCACACCTCCTCCAAACTGGTTAAGGAGGATACTGGAGAAAATATTTAATCTTTGTCCATATTCAAAAGTGTAATCCACAGAAAACAAAAAAGTAACAGTCAGGCTTTATTAGAATCATGTCTTCTTTGAACTCCATAATTTAAGAGAAATGGTCTTAAAAGCAACACTAAAAAATTAATTAACTTGAAAACACATCTTCTACAAAAATATTAAAACAAAACATTGGGATAATTTAGATAGGAATGGAAAGTTCTGAAAAATTAATGTTTCACATACTTGAATGGTATATGCTAAACATTGTAAGTCAACATACCTGGGTTCCAGTCTTTAATTACACCTCTAATAAAATTTTTGTTAATCCAAAAAATGTTTATTAAGTATCCTTTACCTGCTAGGCACCCTGAAGAAGCTCATGACATTGTATATGACAGACATCTAAATAAACAGGTGATATGGAACATGGACAAATGTTATGGAAGCCAACAAGGGCTGAATCAAGACAGAGGATTCAGCACACATTACACCCACTCATTCTATTATAAATCCCTAAAAATGATGTGTATATATATATATATATATATATATATATATATATATATAACACATACATATATAACACAGTATGAAAACTATATTCATATGCAATATTATAAATACACTATAAACTTTACTATAAATTTCATATACTAGAAATGTTATAAATCTCTAGAAATATTAGAAATACATACATATTTTCCTCATTCAATAAAAAGTCCTGCAAAATAAGAGGCATTTTCAGTTGACCTGAAATTATAAGCAACTTCTGAAAAATAGACATCAAATGTGAGGAGGCAAAAAAGGCAAAATGTAGAAATATTCTAGATGTGACCAGTATCAGGCAGTTGGCTGCCCCCTACTAGGGAATTATCTTTCCCCCTCCTCCCTAGGAAGGAACAGTGAGTACAATCACTTAGGCTGGAGAAAAATAGATTTACAGGTGGCTGACAACACAGGTCTGCAAAACATCCAGTTCTACCTCTGCATGTTACTTAATTCAAGTTATAGTAAACAGGGTGACACAGTGTTTACAGAAGACTATCAAGGACTCTCAAATCAAATATGAACAAAAATCACCAAACAACTGAGGGAAACCAATACCATGAAAGGACATCACATGCAACAATCAAAAGAATACCTGAGAAAATAGAATTAAGAGATCTAGCAGATGGAAACAAAAGAGAAATACCACTACTATTCAAAGAATTAAATTGTAGTCACAACTAGTAAAATACTCCTTTCAGTTTTCATTCTTCAAAATCAACAAAGCCAGAAATGCAAATGTTAGAGGAAGCAGAAGTTGGAAAGGTAAAGGTGAGGAAAGGTAGAGAGAATGGTAAATACTAATATCCTCACAGAGTGAAAAGTAAAGATATATCATCCATAATTGATGAAGAAATAAAAATTAACAAAGTTATTTAAAGTTCTGAAAAGAGCCATCAGATAAAATCAAAATAGTATAACTCACACAAACTGAAAAGGGGAGAAGGGGAATGTAATATGAAATAAATTTTCATCTATCATAGCATAAAAATTAGATCATATGTAGAACTGATAAATCAAAATTTAATTATTATTATTATGGGCTGAATTGTGTGCCATGCCCCCCCAAAATTCATATGTAGAAGCCTTAACTCCGGTATTTCAGAATGTGACTGTATTTGAAGATAAGGTCTTTAAAAAGGTGGTGAATTTAAAATGAGTGTGGGCCCTAATCCAAATGAGTGGTGTCCATGTAAGACAAAATAGGGATACACAAAAGGACACCAGGGATATGCACACACAGAGGAAAGGCCATGAGGACACAGGAAGAAGGAAGCCATCTACAAGTCAAGGAGAGAGGCCGGAGAAGAAAGTATAAACATACCAACACCTTGATCTCAGACATCTAGCATCCAGAATTTTGAGAAAATTAATTTCTAATATTTTGGCTACCCAGCTATGCAGCAGTTTGTTATGGCAGCCCTAGCAAATTAATACTGTGATACAAGCAAATGATTAAGACACATGGAGGTGGTCAAGTGCGATTCATCTCAGGGATGCAAGGATGCTACAACATTCGAAAATCCATCAACATCATCCACCACATCAACAAAAAAAAGGACAAAAACCACATGATCATCTCCATAGATGCTGAAAAAGCATTCAACAAAATTCAACATCCATTCATGATAAAAACTCTCAACAAAATGGGTATAAAGAGCAAGTACCTCAAATTAATAAAGGCCATATATGACACACCTACACCCAACATCATACTTAACAATGAGATGCTGAAAGCTTTTCAACTAAGATCTGGAACAAGAAAGGGATGCCCAGTCTCCCCACTATTATTCAACATAGTACTGGAGGTCCTAGCCATGGCAATCAGACAAAAAAAAGAAATACAAGGCATCCAGATTGGCAAGGAAGAAGTCAAACTGTCACTGTTTGCAGATGACATGATATTGTACATAAAAAACCCTAAAGACTCCACTCCAAAACTCCTAGAACTAATATCGGAATTCAGCAAAGTGGCAGGGATACAAAATTAATACACAGAAATCTGTGGTTTTCCTATACACTAACGATGAACTAACAGAAAGAGAAATCAGGAAAACAATTCCATTCACAATTGCATCAAAAAGAATAAATACCTGGGAATAAACCTAACCAAGGAAGAGAAAGACCTATACCCTGAAAACTACAAGACACTCTTAAGAGAAATTAAAGAGGACACTAACAAATGGAAACTCATCCCATGCTCTTGGCTAGAAAGAACTAATATTGTCAAAATGGTCATCCTGCCTAAAGTAATCTACAGATTCAATGCAATCCCTATCAAAATACCAACAACATTCTTCAATGAACTGGAACAAATAGTTTTAAAATTCATATGGAACCACAAAAGACCCTGAAGAGCCAAAGCAATCCTGAGAAGGAAGAATAAAGCAGGGGGGAATCTCACTTACCAACTTCAAGCTCTACTACAAAGCCACAGTAATCAAGACAATTTGGTACTGGCACAAGAACAGACCCACAGACCAGTGGAAAAGAATAGAAAGTCCAGATAATAACCCAAACATATATGGTGAATTAATATACAATAAAGGAGACACAGATATACAATGGGAAATGACAGCCTCTTCAAAGGCTGGTGTTGGCAAAACTGGAGAGCTACATGTAAGAGATTGAAACCAGATCATTGTCTAACCCCATATAAAAAGTAAATTCAAAATGGATCAAACACATGAATGTAAGTCATGAAACCATAAAACTCTTAGAAAGAAACAGGCAAAAATCTCTTGGACATAAACATAAGCAACTTCTTCATAAACATATCTCCCCGGGCAAGAGAAACGAAGGCAAAAATGAACAAGTGGGACTATATCAAGCTAAAAAGCTTCTGTACAGCAAAGGACACCATCAATAGAACAAAAAGGTACCCTACAGTATGGGAGAATATATTCATAAATGACAGATCCGATAAAGGGTTGGCATCCAAAATGTATAGAGTTTACGCACCTTACCAAACAAAAAGCAAATAATCCAATTAAAAAATGGGCACAGGAGCTGAACAGACAATTCTTCAAAGAAGAAATTCAGATGGTCAACAGGCACATGAAAAGATGCTCCACATCACTAATCATCAGATAAATGCAAATTAAAACCACAATCAGATACCACCTCACACCAGTTAGGATGGCCAACATCCAAAAGACAAACAACAAGAACTGTTGGTGAGGATGTGGAGAAAGGGGAACCCTCCTACACTGCTGGTGGGAATGTAAATTAGTTCAACCATTGTGGAAAGCAGTATGGAGGTTCGTCAGAATGCTCAAAACAGAAATACCATTTGACCCAGGAATTCCACTCCTAGGAATTTACCCTAAGAATGCAGGAGCCCAGTTTGAATAAGACAGATGCACCCCTATGTTTATCACAGCACTATTTACTATAGCCAAGAAATGGAAGCAACCTAAGTGTCTATCAGTAGATGAATGAATAAAGAAGATATGGTACGTATACACAATGCAGTATTATTCAGCCATAAGAAGAAAACAAATCCTACCATTTGCAACATGGATGGAGCTAGAGGGTATTATGCTCAGTGAAATAAGCTAGGTGGAAAAAGACAAGTATCAAATGATTGCACTCATCTGTGGAGTATAAGAACAAAGAAAAAAACTGAAGGAACAAAACAGCAGCAGACTCACAGAACCCAAAAATGGACTAACAGTTACCAAAGGGAAAGGGTTTGGAGAGGATGGGTGGGAAAGGAGGGATAAGGGGGGAAAAAAGGGTCATTATGATTAGCCGACATAATGTAGGAGGCGCCATGGGGAGGGCTGTACAACACAGAGAAGACAAGTAGTGATTCTATAGCATCTTACTACACTGATGGACAGTGACTGTAATGGGGTATGTGGGGTGGGACTTGATGATGGGGGGAGTCTAGTAAACATAATATTGTTCATGTAATTGTAGATTAATGATACCAAAATAAAGAAAAAGTTTTTTAAGATACATGGAGGTAACCATGAGAAGTGAAAACAAAAATGGACAATAGCCTTAAAATATAAACACATAGGTACAAGGCAATTCAATGCAGCACCCAAATGTCCAACAAAAGGGGCTGGTTGAAAATAATAAGGTACATGCACCAACTAAATAGTATGTAGCCATTTAAAAACTTAGGATCTCTATATACTGCTATGAAGGGATCTCTAGGATACAGTGTTAAATGGGATAAAAGATAGGTGGGAAAAAAATATATGGAATGCTACCATTAATCTAAGAACCCTGAGGTGGGGAAAGATATATATACCTATTTGTCTATATTTAAAAACCAAAAGGATAAATAGTAAAATAAAATAGTGATCTATAGGGAAGGAACAGTGTTGAATAGACAAGCTAGATTTATCTGAATATATTTCCTTTTGTAGATTTGATTTCAGAACCATGTAAATATTTTACATTATAAAACAAAATTCAGTCAAAACAGGGAGAGAAAGCAATCACTAAAAAAGAAAACCACACAAATAGAAACAAATGAACCTATGTGTCAAGTCAGTAGCCTAACCACAGAGAAAGGAATTATTCCAAGTAATTTTAAAACAATATTTTAATATAAAAACAATATTTTCACTGTATATACCTAGTGGGTTACATCATAAGAATAAAAGAAGTGCAAAAAATTATTAAACTGTTTTTATAAATCATTCTTAGTAATAATATTGATATTGCCATATTCCAAAACTGTTATGAATATTCATTTTTAGGACAAAACAGTTATTTATTATATTAATGTTGTTAGGCACTAAGACAGTACCAGAGAAAGAAGATACAAATGTAAAATTAAGAAGCTAAATAAAACCCTGTCATCCTAAATATCAACTGGAAATATCAGTATGAATTTATTATATATGTTCTCTTTTAAAAATGAAGAATTTCATAGCTCTGTCCACTAAAAAGTTCTAGAAACAATGACCAATGCAATAGCAGTGAGCACTTCTAATGTTCAGATTGTGGTTTCTAAGTAACATTGTCCACTAAAAGAAAACAGGGCTCCTTAGAGGAATGGCTGCATCCAGGTCTAGGGCAGAAACTATACAAGGTGAGCCTGGATATCTTGTCATTTAAGAAGTCAAATAAAGCTATTAAAGACTACTAGGGTGTTGTAATTTTAAAACAATATTTTGTTTTAAAAAGGACTCAGAATGACCTAAAAGAGGCTCCTTTTAGCCCAAGATAGGACATTGTGTTCCAATAAGAAAAATAACTACACTGGATAGAAATTCATTAAATTTGTTAAAATCCATGAGTTCACAACAATACTTTTTAAAAAAATCTACTTAGTCATCATTTAAGAAGTTAGAGAACCAATTCATTTTTCCAAAAACTGCTAAATACAGGAAAGAATCAAGACTTTCTTACAAAAGTATACTTCAGGGTGACCAAATAGTTGGTGAGGGAAGTTTCTATCTATTCCACTTAATAAACAAAGAAGGAATACAGAATTAGAATATGCAAACACCTCCAGAAATACTGGATCTAGGGACAATAATCATCAAGGTCACTAATACAACAGAAAGGAGACAAGCAGACATTAGTGCTTCCTGATGGAAATACACCATACTGCCTGTGAACCATACTTGATGAAACAAAACCTGAATCGGATCAAGCTTCTAAATCTAACAGTTTACAGGAAAAACAGGAGACAGAAGACTATATTAAATGACACCACAAGGATAGAGTCATCAGAATCCAGAATTTAGGCAACTCTACAGGACAACCAACCTGGTTTCTTCAACAAATAAATTTGTTCAACAGATTTTTTTTAAAAAGGAAGGGAAAACATGTAGATTGAAAGACACACTTACAAAATATGAGGTGTGGATTTTCTTTAACCCTGATTCTAAGACACCAACTAGAGAGAAAAAGAGGCCAGGTAGATGGTGCAGGGTTAGGGGGAGACTGTATATTTGATCATTTTAGAAAATCTTTGTTAAATTTTATAAGGTGTGATAACAAGTATTGGGTTTTGTTTGAATAAAAGCGATACCTTGTCATTTAGAGACACATGCTGAAATATTTATGGGCAAAATGACACATTTTGGATTCATTTCAAAATAATCCATGGAGCCAGGGGTTTGCTGTTGGAGGAGATATAGAGAAAACAAAAGTGGTCATGAGTTGATGACTAACCTAGCTGAGTGATGAGTAAATGGGGGAATCATTTTACTATCTTATCAATTTTGTGTGTTCATTTGAGCTTTTCAATAAAATATTGTTTTAAAACACTGGAAAAAATATTTTGCTCTCAAAAAAAATATATTTGCCTCTGGGGAGAAAGATGGGGGTATGGAGGGATGGAGCAGAGAGCTATTACTTTTTATTACTTTCATTACTTTCCATAAATACTGAGTTGTAACTTCAATATTTAATCCACTGAATCATGGCAGTAACTATAGTACTGCTGAACACTTTAATTGTAGGAGACATAATTATCAATAAAGGAACATGGATATAGCACTGTAAGATATGACCCTTTTCTGGGTTTACACTAACTTCAACCATCTTAGTGGGAGTAATGACTATCCCAATTCATCTCACTTACTTAGGACTTACCAAAATGTGTCTTTTAATAAATTCTTCTGAAGCAGCTGAGCCTTCACACATACACACCAACTTGCAAGCAACATGCTGTACTGGAAAACAGTAATTAGACACCCATAAACACAAAACATTCATTTACTTTTTATATACACCTATAAAGAGTGAAGTAAAACCAGTTTTGCTGTTAAAAATAAGAATTTTAAAGGCTTTAAAAAATCAGTTATCAAAAGTAAATGATCTGATGCCCATCAATAGTTGAATGGATAAAATGATGTGGTACATATACACAACAGAATACTATTCAACCATAAACAAAAAGAAAGAAAGAAATCCTGCCATCTGACCATCTGGATAGATCTAGAGGGTATGATGCTAAGTGAAATAACCTAGGCAGATAAAAACAAATACTGTGTGATTTCACTTATTTGTGTAATCTAAAAACAAACCAAAACAAAATGAATAAAAATAGCAGTAGACTCATAGACACTGAGAAGTGACTGCTGGTTACCATGGGGGAGGGGGAGGGTGGGTGGGAAAGGGGATTAAAGGGCACTGTAGTTAACAATCACATTATAAGTTGGTCATGAAGATGGTAGTGCAGCATGGAGAATATAGCCAATGATTCTGTAACATCTTCCTATGTTGATGGATAGTAATTGCACTAGGGGGGGAAGTATTTAATAATATGGGTAACTGTTGAACCATTGTGTTTGTATACTTGAAACTAATATAAGATTGTACATCAAGGGTACTTCAATTTTTAAAAATGGAAAAAAAGCCAATATGGAGTAAGTAATTTCAAGGATACTATTCTAAAATCAAAGAAAGGGGGGGAAAAGTAAAGGACCTGAAAATTATCAAGTGAATCATTTGTTTAATGCTTCAGTCAGATACTTAATTTTTAAATTTTAATTTCTGCAGGCCTTAAATCCCAAAGACTCACTGAAGATATATGGTTCCATGTGATGCTTTTGCATGTACCATGCTGGCAGCAAAATAACTCTAAAAAATTGTAACCTAAAGCTATTCAACATCTAACAAAATTTCTGAACATCAGAGAAGTTTTAAATTATTCTCCTAAAATGTGAGACTTTCTAAATATATGCTGGAGACGATGTAAAAGTACTTGAACTATAGCTTAGAAAATGCAGGTATCTTCATTATACAGTTTATTTCCCCTGAAAATCAGAAAGTTTGCATGAGTGTGACCTCTTTATTTGTGTAGTTTCTTTTTTTTAAGGTATGATTGATATACTCTTATGAAGCTTTCACATGAAAAAACCATGTGGTTACTACATGTACCCATATTATCAAGTATGCACCCATTCCCCAATGCAGTCACTGTCAGTCAGTGCAGCAAGGTGCCACAGATTCACTATGTGCCTTCTCTGTGCTACACTGTTCTACCGGTGACCCCCCATACCATGTGTACTAAACATAATACCCCCCATCCCCTTCTTCCTCCCCACCCACCCACCGGCCCTCCCACACACATCCCCTTTGGTAACCACTAGTTCATTCTTGGAGTCTCTGAGTCTGCTGCCATTTTGTTCCTTCACTTTCGCTTCATTGTTATACTCCACAAATGAGGGAATTCATTTGTCATTTGTCTTTCTCTGCCTGGCATATTTCACTGAGCATAATGTCCTCCAGCTCCATACATTGTTGCATATGGTAGGATTTGTTTCTTTCTTATGGCTGAAGAGTATTCCATTGTAAATACGTACCACATCTTTATCCTTTCATCTACTGATGGACACTTAGGTTGCTTCCATATCTTGGCTATTGTAAAAAGTGCTGCAATAAACATAGGGGTGCATATGTCTTTGTGAATCTGAGAAGTTGTATTCTTTGGGTAAATTCCAAGGAGTGGGATTCCTGGGTCAAATGGTATTTCTGTTTTGAGTTTTTTGAGGAACCTCCATATTGCTTTCCACAATGGTTGAACTAGCTTACATTCCCACCAGCAGTGTAGGAGGGTTCCCCTTTCTCCACATCCTCACCAGCATTTGTAGTTCTTAGTCTTTTGGGTGGTGGCAGTCCTTACTGGTGTGAAGTGATACCTCATTGTGGTTTTAATTTGCATTTCCCTGATGATTAGTGATGTGGAGAATCTTTTCATGTCTCTGTTGGCCATCTGAATTTCTTCTTTGGAGAAGTGTCTCTTCATATTTTCTGCCCATTTGTTAATCGGGTTATTTGCTTTTTGGCTGTTGAGGTGTGTAAGTTCTTTATATATTTTGGGTGTTAACCCCTTGTTGGATATGTTACTTACACATATATTCTCTCATACTGTAGGATGCCTTTTTGTTCTGTTGATGATGCCCTTTGCCATACAGAAACTTTTTAGTTTGATGTAGTCCCATCAGTTCATTTTTGCTTTTGTTTCCCTTGATTGAGGAGATGCGTTCAGGAAGAAGTTGTTCATGATTATATTCAGGAGATGTTTGCCAGCGTTGTCTTCTAAGAGTTTTATAGTTTCATGACTTACATTCAAGACTTTAATCCATTTGGAGTTTACTTTTCTGTAAGGGGTTAAACAATAATCCAGTTTCATTCTCTTGCATACAGCTGTCCAGTTTTGCCAACATCAACTGTAGAAGAGGCTGTCATTTCCCCATTGTATGTCCATGGCTCCTTTACCATATATTAGTTCAACATATATGGTTGGGCTCATATCAGGGCTCTCTAGTCTGTTCCATTGGTATATGGGTCTGTTCTTGTGCCAGTACCAAATTGTCTTGATTACTGTAGCTTTGTAGGAGAGCTTTAAGTTGGGGAGTGTAATTCTGCCTGCTTTATTCTTCCTTCTCAGGATTGCTTTGGCTATTCGAAGTCTTTTGTGGTTCCATATGAATTTTAGGATTATTTTCTCTAGTTCGTTGAAGAATGCTATTGGTATTTTGATAGGAATTGCATTGAATCTATAGATTGCTTTAGGCAGGATGGCCATTTTGACAATATAAATTCTTCCTATCCATAAGCATGGGATGTGTTTCCATTTATTGGTATATTCTTTAATTTCTCTCTTGAGTGCCTTGTAGTTTTCAGAGAGCAGGTCTTTCATTTCTTTGGTTAGGTTTATTTGTAGGTATTTTTTCCTTTTTGATGCAACTGTGAATGGAATTGTTTTCTGGATGTCTCCCTCTGCTAGTTCATTGTTAGTGTATAGGAATACCACAGATTTCTGTGTATTAATTTTGCATCCTGGAACTTTGCTGAATTCAGGTATCAGATCTAGCAGTTTTGGAGTAGATTCTTTAGGGTTTTTTATGTACAATATCATGTCATCTGCAAACAGAGACAGCTTAACTTCTTCCTTGCAAATCTGGATGCCTTTTATTTCTTTGTGTTGTCTGATAGCTGTGGCTAGGACCTCCAGTACTATGTTGAATAGAAGTGCAGGAAGTGGGCATCCTTGTCTTGCTCCCAATCTTAAAGGAAAAGCTTTCAGCTTCTCGCTGTCAAGTATAATGTTGGGTGTGGGTCTGTCATATATGGCCTTTATTATGTTGAGGTACTTGCCCTTTCTACCCATTTTGCTGAGAGTTTTCATCATGAATGGATGTTGTATTTTGTCAAATGCTTTCTCAGCATCTATGGAGATGATCATGTGGTTTTTCTCCATTTTGTTCATGTGGTGGATGATGTTGATGGATTTTCGAATATTGTACCATCCTTGCATCCCTGGAATAAATTCTACTTGATCATGATGGATGATTTTTTAAATTTATTTTTGAATTTGGTTTGCTAATCTTTTGTTGAGTATTTTTGCATCTATGTTCATCAGGGATATTGGTCAGTAATTTTCTTTTTTTGTGGGGTCTTTGCCTGGTTTTGGTATTAGAGTGATGCTGGCATCATAGAATGAGTTTGGAAATATTCCTTCCTCTTTTATTTTTTGGAAAATGTTAAGGAGGATGGGTATTAGGTCTGAACTATATGTTTGATAAAGTTCACCCATGAAGCCTTCTGGTCCGGGGTTTTTCATCTTAGGTAGTTTTTTGATTACCAATTCAATTTCATTGCTGGTAATTGGTCTGTTCAGATTTTCTGTTTCTTCCTTGGTCAGCCTTGGAAGGTTGTATTTTTCTAGAAAGTTCTCCATTTCTTCTAGGTTTTCCACTTTGTTAGCATACAATTTTTCATAGTATTCTCTAATAATTCTTTGTATTTCTGTGGTGTCCGTGGTGATTTTTCCTTTCTCATTTCTGATTCTGTTTATGTGTGTAGACTCTTTTTTTCCTTGATTAGTCTGGCTACGGATTTATCTATTTTGTTTATTTTCTCAAATAACTAGCTCTTGCTTTCATTGATTCTTTCTATTGTTTTATTCTTCTCGATTTTATTTATATCTACTCTAATCTTTATTATGTCCCTCCTTCTACTGACTTTGGGCCTCGTTTGTTCTTCTTTTTCCAGTTTCATTAATTGTGAGTTTAGACTGCTCATATGGGATTGTTCTTCTTTCCTGAGGTAGGCCTGTATTGCAATACACTTTCCTTTAGCACAGCCTTCATTGCATCCCAAAGATTTTGCAGTGATGAACTATTGTCATTTGTCTCCATATATCGCTTTATCTCTGTTTTTATTTGGTCATTGATAAATTGGTTATTGATTATTTAGGAGCATGTTGTGAAGCCTCCATGTGTTTGCAGGATTTTTCATTTTCTTTGCATAACTTATTTTGATTTTCATACCTTTGTGGTCTGAGAAACCGGTTGGTACAATTTCAATCTTTTTGAATTTACTGATGCTCTTTTAGTGGCCTAGTATATGATCTATTCTTGAAAATGTTCCATGTGCACTTGAGAAGAATGTGTATTCTGCTGCTCTTAGGTGTAGAGTTCTGTACATGTCTGTTATGTCCATCTGTTCTAATGTGTTGTTCATTGGCTCTATGTCCTTACTTATTTTCTGCCTGGTTGATCTGTCCTTCAGAGTGAGTGGAGTATTGAAGTCTCCTAGAATGAATGCATTACATTCTATTTGCCCTTTAATTCTGTTAGTATTTGTTTCACATATGTAGGTGCTCCTCTGTTGGTCGCATAGAAGTTTATAATGGTTATATCTTCTTGTTGGATTAACCCCT